TACAGTATTTTTGAATACCCTCTTTAACAGCCGTTAGTATAGATGTCAATACTTTTGAAAGTGGTTTTGTGGAACAACGGGATGAACCTGCTATAAAACGTTGCTTGTAGGGATTTTTATGTAGTTTAGGTATCCAATATAACAAGGGCAAATCTGTATAGGTATCTCCACACGGAGTACCAAATGAAGTGAGTACAGATTTGTGATTGGATATAATTTCATCCTTACTAAGAGTAGATCGTTTATATGTAGCACTGTCGATTAGTTTCCCGAAATTAAGTTCTTTGAACAGACAGTCAAAATAATGTCATTTACATATAAACACTATGTTATTGGACGCCTTGTCAGCCGGAACAATGACATACTTGTCATGCAAGGCATTGAGATTTTCAACAATGCTAACATCATTGAAAATAGACTTAGGCCTAGTGTCAACTGACAAACGTTGCATGTATATTCTTCGTTTAAGTAAACGACTGATAGACTTGGTCCAATCAGAGAGAGTATCTGAGATAACATCTTTCCTCTTGGCACATGATCTAGCGTAGTCCTCTACGGCATCCATAATAAGTTTGAAATTTTGATCCCATGAAAATGGTTGCGGTTCCCGGTATTTGGGTTCTTTGGACAAAATTTCATGTAGCTTATTATTCTGGACTATGTTCAAATCACCAGTGACCACATGTCCAGCTGGTGGGTAATGGAAGGACGACGTAGAGCAAGAACATGGTAGAGGGTTATTATATAAGTCTTTTGCATTGATGTCAGATAATGCGTTTCTGTAATTAAATATTTTGGATGCAATGGGTTTAGTATAAGTATAAGAAATCCTAGGAACAGTAACAGTTTTGAAGTAAGGAGGGATGTGTGCTGTGACTTGCTTATGGTGTAATATTTAGCTTAACCCTAAAAATAATTCACACCAAGTTACTGGAAAGTGTCTGGAAAATAAAGACTACAAATAAAAATGTTGTTTCGGTTATTTTCTGGTCTCAAATAGTTCTGCATATTTAGAGCTAGCAAATATTTATTTCCTAAACTCACGAGAGTTATAAACTTACATTTCAAGTTTCATCACAATTAGAAGAAAACTGTGACCTCTAGAGGGTCCACAACCTTGATATACCATATTTTTTACGCTATTTGAGAACGAGAGATGGCCATTTTGTCTGTCAGTTTTTGGCCGATTTTTTAGATCCGATAAAAATTATGACATCTATAGGGTCCACAAGCTAAAAACGCAATTTTTTGTACAATCAGGGGCCATAATTCAATAAGTTACGATCCGATATGAGCGAGTAACGAAAGGAACCAAGATCTTTGGGTTATAATTAATTGTGACCTCTATAGGGTCCACAACCTTGATATACCATATTTTTACGATATTTGAGAACGAACGGCGGCCATTTTGTCTGTCAGTTTTGGACCGATATTCACGAAATTCAAACTCAGCCGTCCTTAGGGTTTAACGGTGATATAGTAATATGTTTTTTTAAATCGGATAAAAATTATGACCTCTATAGGGTCCACAAGCTAAAAACACGATTTTTCGTACAATCAGGGGCCATAATCCATGAAGTTTCAGAGCGATACATGCCAATATCGAAAGCAACCAAGGTCTTTTGGAGATAAACCTATATTTCAAGTTTCGTGAAAATCAGATAAGAATTGTGACCTGTAGAGTGTCCATAAACAATTGTGGGCGAAGTCCAGACGGACAGGGGCGACGACAATATACGTCCACATGAAAATGTGGGGGTATAAAAATAACCACCATGTTTTAAATTTAAAACAAAAAGTTAATTAAACGGCCAAGAGATAGATAGATAACCGATCCGGTGTAACATACTCCAGATTTATAGACAAGCTGTGTACTGTGGACTAAATTTTGATGTTTATTATGGTCACCGACTGAAAACTCGGTACTATCCTAATTGTTAAACAAATAACGTACCATTGACTCACAGACCCTTACAGATACGGAAGTCACAGTCATCAACTACTCGAGCTATAACCCCAATGACGCGGAACTTTCACTTTTAAAACTTTGTTCCTCGTCTGCAATTCTTCGTAAAAGATGATATTGATTTTTTACGACATATTGATGTTATTAACTCTACAGAACCACTAGGCGAAGAAGATCTGTTATGTACCATGTTAAATCACTTTATACAAATATACCTCATCAAGAAGGCATAGATAGCTGTAAAGCATTTTTGGAGAGCAGACCAGCTGACAGTAAACCGGACCACCTTCCTCTGCAAACTAATGCATCTTGTACTTACTCTGAACAACTTTGTATTTAACGACACACACTACACACAACAACATGGAACAGCAATGGGTACAAGAATGGCCCCCAACTACGCTTGTTTGTTTATGGGCAGTCTTGAAAAAGAGTTTCTACAGAACTATAATCCTCTTGAACAGCCACACTTTTGGAAACGCTTCATAGATGATATATTTTTTATTTGGCGCCACAGAGAAACTAAACTTCTCAAATTTATCGAATATATGAAATCCGCCCACCCGACTATCAAGTTCACATGTAACCACTCAAGAGACTCATTAGCTTCCTGGACATTTCAATTCACAAAATTATCGACCGCTTAGAAACTGATCTATTCTCACTGACACTCACCAATATCTACATTGGGGATCTTGCCACCCTCACAATACTAAACGTAGTCTACCTTACAGTCTCGCTTTTCGCCTCAGACGAATCTGCTCATTACCCGTATTCCTCAACAATCGCTATGATGAACTATGCAACTATCTGCGCAAACGTGGTTACAAAAGAAATGTTATAACTGATGCTATCAAGAAAGCTACTAGAATCTCACGCTCAGATGCTCTACAACAACGTCAAAAGAAGAAAAATAACCGAATCCCATTTGTTATTCCCTTCAATCCAAGACTCCCAAACATTGGAGAAATTACACAAAGATACATGCCTATTCTTCACATATCTAATCATTGTAAGACTGTTATACCCAACCCTCCTATCGTAGCGTATAAAAGACCTCGCAACTTGGGCGACACATTGGTCAAGTCTAAACTACCTAAAACTCCAGAGACACTGGGATTTTACAAATGCAGTAAAAAATGTATTACATGTACTCGGCACTGTCACGAAACCAACACTATTACGAGTAACTGCACTAAGAAACAATTCGCAATTCGGAAACATCTAGACTGCAACTCTTATAATATTATATATGTAATCACCTATACCAAATGCAACTAACAATACGTCGGAGAAACTCAACAAAAACTCAAAGAACGGATATATGGACACAGATCTGATATCAACAATCATGGAGACTCCCCAATCGCCAGACACTTCAACTCCCCTAATCATAGCATAGACCATCTCCGAGTCACCGCCTTTGTTCAGCTCCATAATGCCACCACTCATTCACTTCTTAATAAAAAAACATTTTGGATTAGAACTCTTAAAACTCTTGAACCTCTAGGCATTAATAATAATCCTCAAACCATCTTCCCCATCAGCACTTTTTAGACTTTCCCCCTTGTTCACGCGCTCCTGGTTCCACACTCTTCGTCATAGTTCCCTATGACGTCATCTCTGTTTCCTTAGAGATTCTTTTTAAATGTTTTATTTATTACCTTGAAGAAGAAGAGAGTACCTCTTCGAAACGTTGGTCTAATTATATCTGACTATGAAAACAGTGTTAGTGTCTCTTTTGTTTATTTACTTTAATATTTATCTAGTGAAGACCACTTCCGTATTGGATTCCTCGATCCACTGTTTTCATATTCCTGTTGGACGCGGATTCTACACAAGTTTGGTAGTCATGACATTGAACAAATTGTATAGAACATCTTGTGGTTAATAATTGAACATCTGTTTCAAAATTAAAACCAGAATTAACACAACAATGCCATCTCCCTGTATACCAAATCTCGTCAAACAGTTCAATATAATTATGAAAGATAGGTTGCCAGGCAACGAAACATACGCCTACAGCAGCTAAATCGTCCGGGCAGTCAACAAGAGTTGTCGCTTATTTTTACTTTTTTCGGTAATAAAACATTTATAATACTCTAAAATCTGATTAGGAGTAACAACTCATTAAGTAATTATCAGAAAATCACTAGAATTTGTTTGGTTTTCATAAAGTTTTGCCCAATACGAAACATTTAATATCATGGATTTAGCTGTTCAAGTTATCAAAATTCATTGAAAATCAACATACTTGTTTGTCTCAAGACCTTAAACCCTGTGTATCAATCTGAAGACAATCGAATGATAACTTTAGTCTCTAGAGCGTCACAAGATTTTTCAAAGTGATCAAGAGCCATAATTGGCAGTAATTATCGGAAATCGTTGAAAATCAATAGAATTTTTCATCTCATGACCCCAAACGCTGCATATAAATTCAAAGTCAATAGAATATTAACTTTAGTCTCTAGAACATCCCCAAGATTTTTCCCAAAATGATCAAGGGCCATAACTCTGGCAGTAATTATCCGAAATCGCTGAAAATCAATAGGCTTCTTTGTCTCATGACCTTAAACACTGTGTATAAATTTAAAGTCAATCGTATATTAACTTTAGCCTCTAGAGCGTTCCCAAGCAATTGTGGACGGCAGACCGACGGACGGACAGGGGCGACGACAATATACGACCACATTTCAATGTGGGCGTATAAAAAGCATAACAAAGTATAATTCCTGTTAGCAGTAACTGTCCTATGACAATTACGGCCCTAAATATTTTACAAACTTTGTGTCAGTAAAAGAAACGACCAGAAACTTGTACAGACATGTTTTGATTAAAACACTGAATCTATTCAGAGTTGTCAATAGTGTTACTTGATATTCACCCAGGAAATCACGAAATTCCTTGATAGAAAACATGGTAATACTGTGTTCCATGAAACCTTTGAGATGGGTGTACTGTACATGTATATGATATGCATCTTTACCCTTATTAGTTCTTAATCCATGTTATCCTTTAGATAAAAAAATCTTACTTTGAAACGGCTTCTTCATTTGTTTTAATGTATTCTTTAGGAAAATATAACATCTGAATATCATCATCAACCTAATATAAATGATAAAATAGAAGGAATAGTATTTATGCAAGCACCAACCAATGTACATATATGCATATACAAGATCTTCGTAATTAGAAGCTCATCGTTTGGAAGCATATTTAGAGTCTGTCGTGTATTTTAATATTCAAATATCATATCAAAATTGATGTACAACAAAAAAAACTCTTATGACACTGTTTTAGTGCCAAAAGAGCATACAAGTTCTCTAGAAAGAGATTTACCGCTCTTGTTCCCATTCCACCCCAAGAACTACTCTTTAAAAAGACTTCAGTCACTTGCCACCTGGAGAACCATTTGAAGTAATCTAGATTATACTCCGGTTAAAGATGTGAAACAAGACATTGGAAACATCACTTAGAGTACAGAGTGTCATGGGGATGGGGAACTGTACCTATGGTACGTCTTTCGAGTGGGTGGTTTCTGTGTCTCCTTACTAAGACTACTTAATGGGATACAAAGAGGTGGAAACTTCAAGTGGCACTATGAAGTAATAAGCGACTGGAACCATTCCTTACAGTAAGGAGTGTCAAAAGGGGCGAATCTATTTCGTTAGGGTGGGGTGGGGTGGGGTGGGGGATGGACGAATGGTGCACGTTGGGGTGGTTTCGATAATTACTTCTGGTGATGATAAAAATGTCAAATTAGTTTTATGAAATCATCAATTAGGCATCACATGGTAAAAAATTTATGAGAATTGTATAATAATTGACACTTTTATGGACCAAAAACCTTGAAAAGTGACTTTTAGAAAATTGTCTATTTCTCCCGAACTGAACAAGTTAGAAACCATTTTGTGATATCTATATGACCGTATTCTTTTCATTTTTCTGTTGATTTAAACAGAAAGTTAACATTTTCAAAACATAGTAAGTAATTTATCAGTTGAAAAAAATATTGATTTTAAATTTTAAAGATAGGTTGCCAGGCAACGAAACATATGCCCACAGCAGCTAAATCGTCCTGGCAGTCAACAAGTGTTGTCACATATTTTTACTTTTTTTCGGTAATGAAACATTCATAATACAGTGCACTCTGTCACATCCGACCTCTGATCACTCCGGCACTCTGTTACATCAGACACCATTTTCATGTCCCGATTTATTTCCTTATTACTTCAACCAAAAAATCTCTGGGTAATTCGACCTCTGTACATTCTGGATTACGACATCAATCAGCCGTCCCGTCATACGATTTCCATTGAATCGACACCGTATAATCCGGCCTTCAATCGGTGGGTGTGAAGCAAAGACTTACCGATCAATTATCCGTGAGATTAAAACTGGATGGGTGTGAAGCCACAAAAGATTAACAAGCAATCACCAATCAATTATCTGTGAGATTAAAACTCGGTACCGTGGGTCTTTGTTGATTACTTTGATAATTTTAATCTCCTGTACGACAGTTGTGATAAATACTCAAGAATATCCACGAATTTTCCCCCGAATTAACAGTCGTAAAAATATTCCTAGCACGGATACCCCTTAGCACCCGTTGGAAACATTCGTTGCGCATGCCGATTGAACCTGAATAACCTATAAGTTTGGTCACCCTACGGATGTCTTCGAACCGTGTGATGATGCTCGATTCACAGTCCGAACGTCCCAAATTATCAGAATTGCAATCGATTGACGCGGAATTCAGTCCTGTCACAGTTCTGTCAGTCCCGACGACGGAGGTGGTGTGAGTAAAATTGTGACGTAATTAAACACGACGAACAGGTTTCGGCTGCATGGTTGAATGAGATATTTATATATCCAGTCGACGCATGCGTTGTAGCCCGAAGTACCCATTTTCACTCGATTGTCAATATTTTTGGGATTGAGATAATTCAATTCCAGAACGTTCAATCGAGTACGCCCATTATCAATGAACACGTGATAGCAAAGACAAGAGTGCGATCAACTGAAGACGGCGAAGAAGATAAATTAATGACAGACTTGACCTATTCAAAATGCCTACGCACGTTAAATGAAATAAAAAGTAATGTAATAAAATTTGGAATGTACAGAAAGGTTTACCATTTTTAAAGGGAATAACATTCTGGTGATTCGAAGTTCTATTTTCGAAGCTACATTATAATAATACTTCCGGTTTTCTAAGTTACAATTTTTCCGGTTTTGAGAAAACTGGGTATTCTGACACTCTGCGTAATCCGACATATTGTAACGACCCCGTACGATGGCGGATGTGACAGATTGCACTGTACATTAAAATCTGATTAAGAGTAACAACTCATGAAGTAATTACAAGAAAACCATTAGAATTTGTTTGGCTTTTATAAAGTTCTGCCCCATGCTAACGTTTAGTATACAAAACTTTTAATATCATGGATTTAGCTGTTCAAGTCATAAAAATTTACTTGTTCATATCAAGACTTTAAACTCTGTGTATCAATCTGAAGTCAATCAGATGATAACTTTAGCCTCTAGAGCGTCACATGATTTCTCAAAGAGATCAAGGACCACAACTTTGGCAGTATTATCGTAAATCATTGGAAATCAATAGGATTCTTCGTCTCATGACCTCAAACACTGTGTATAAATTTATAGTCAATAAGATATTAACTTTAGCCTCTAGAGCATCCACAAGATTTTTTGAAGTGATCAAGGGCCATAACTCTGGCAGTAATTATCGAAAATCACTGAAAATGAATAGACTTCTTTGTTTCATGACCTTAAACTCTGTGTATAAATTTAATGTCAATCGGATATTAACTTTAGCCGCTAGAGCATCCACAAGATTTTTCAAAGTGATCAAGGGCCATAACTCTGGCAGTAATTATCTCAAATCGCTGAAAATCAATAGGCTTCTTTGTCTCATGACCTTTAACACGGTGTATAAATTTAAAGTCAATCGGATATTAACTTTGGCCTTAAGAGCGTCCACAAGTTTTTTCAAAGTGATCAAGGGTCATAACTCTGGCATTAATTATCGTAAATCGCTGAAAATCAATAGGCGTCTTCGTCTCATGGCCTTAAACACTGTGTATAAATTTAAAGTCAATCGGATATTAACTTTAGCCTCTAGAGCGTCCACAAGACTCTTTGAAGTGATCAAGGGTCATAACACATTCTAAATATAATTTTAACACAGAGATCATTGCTACGATAGCTGATTAATACAGTTTTCCAGAATCGGAAGTGACGAACGCCAAAGGAAAACACGATCAGTCATCTCTCTATATAACTGACTGATGTGACGAGTGATAACGAATATACGGGCGAATTTCGGCTCACTAATAATTCCTTCGAAGACCAAAAGTTGTTGTATGAGATTGTGAGAGGATATCTGACAATTCATAAAAAGAATTGACTGCCACTAGATAAGTGAACACGAAAGAAAAACAGAAAAAGTCTGTGCATTACCATGTTTTTATAAGATATAGAATGAATATAAACAAGGGAATGTACGGACTATTTCTATTTTTCTAGTGTTCTCTTATCTAATGACATTCAATTACATTATTGAATTGTCAGGTATCCTCTTACAGTCCCATATATCAACTTTTGGTCTTCGAAGGAATTATTAGTGAGCAGAAATTCGGCCGTAGATCCGTTATCACTCGTCACATCAGTCAGTTATATAGAGAGATGACTCATGTTTTCCTTTGGCGTTCATCACTTCCGACTCAGGAAACCTGTATTACTCAGCTATCGTAGCAATGATCTCTGTATAAAATTATATTTGGAATGTGTTTAACCAGCTTTATCACATATGTGATAATGACTGGCACCAATATTGTCCTTTAACTTTCTGTATATTTAAAGAACCATTTTTCTGAAAATCTTAATTTCGATTACAATCAATATTTTCACTTATTTTGTCTTTATTTCATTATTAGATTGTGTGCATTCCGTAGCTGGTCACATATCGAAAATTAAATTTCAATACCTGAAAACATATTATATATAAATAGAATCGTCATTAGATCAGCTATCTCAATATACATGTATAAACTTTTTTTTGAAAATCTGTAAAAATAAAAAAATACTAGAGAATTTTCCAAAAATTAAAAATGTTTTTTGACTTTTTTCGATTCTTAGTCCCTTTTTTTTCCTATTCTAGTTATTTCAAAGTCCTATTGAATGTCTTCGTGCACAACACTACCGAGGGGACTCCCAATAGAGAAAGTTTACGAAAACTCACTCGAGCAGTTTTCAAGATACAGACTTCCAAAAACATCTCAAATCAGAAAATATTTTATTTTCAGTGTGCCATATTTTCCTGCGGGATCACCGTATCTGTATGAATTGGGTTTCACACGATAGTCCATTCGACTCAAAGCTATCTTAATTGGTTTAATCCGGTGATATCGGACAGAAAAGAAAAATTGTGTTTTTCCCCAAAGCATCCATTTTTGCGTTGTTGTCAACATATCGGATATTATTTCGACTACTTCCTGTCTACGGATCATTGTTGAAATTGCTTTATCCTTTGGTATGGCCATATGACTTCATGCTCCAGAAGTTTAGAATCATCGATTTGGGCATAAAAAGAAACGAGAGCATCGCTAACGCTGCAATATACGACCACATTCCTGCTTTAATTGATAAGGTACTTTTCAAAACGAAGAGAATGAAATATGAAATGGCTGCAATGACTGTAATATGTGTGTGTGTGTCTACTTAGTGTTTTAACGTCTGCTTCCACCAAAGGTGATATCGCAGACAAGTTGTCTTATTTTCATATTTATTATCTTTGCGCACGCTGGGGTCCTCCTGTAGGAGGAAACCGGGGTACCCGGAGTAAACCCACAAGGTTGAGAAGACGCCCCTTTCTCCAGGATCGAAACCACAACCGCAAGCCAGGTTGACCGGCCTGTTGGAGGTCGAAGTGTGACAGTCTAGAACGCTAGGCCATCCAACCCACCTTGACTGTAATATAACAATTTACAGACTAAATTGTTGCCGTCCTTAGTGTATAAGGAATAAGTATACCAAGTTCCAAGATAATCCATTCAGAATTTTGGCCTTCGGGCGCTAAAGCC